AGAATAATAAAAAATCTAACAGGATGATTCTCAAATTTAATAAATTGCTAATTAATAAATTACTACATCCAATCTTAAACCATTCAATTATTAATTGATCGAACAAAACTCAATTAAATAAAATCAATTTTGTTATGCAATTGCTGTTAATAAAGATTGTTCAATTTTGATTGCCGGTTGTAAAGAATAAATTAAAGTGTTTGAATTTAATTAAGCAATCTTGAAATAACTTGAAATTTTAAGTGAACATAGTAAAGATGTAAATACGTTAAATTTTCTGAAGAGATCGGATCAATTTATATCTGGGAGTGATGATAATTTGATTATAATCTGGGCAAGAAATCCAAATAATTCATGGATTTGTTAATAGAAACTTAATGGACATACAAGTTATATAATGTGTTTGACATTAAACAATAATGAAGATGTTATTGCATCTGGTGATGGTGATAGTACAATTAAATTATGGTATGAATAAAATGAATGGTTGTGTAAATAGACAATCAAAGAACATATAAATCGAGTATTAGGATTAAGTTTTAATGAACAATAAAATAAATTGATATCTTGTGGATAAGATATGTTGATATTAGTAATGGAACAATCAGAATTGAATAAATAATGGATTATAATATAAAAGATTGAATTGGAGAGATAGGGAATTCGATTATGTTTTATTGATAATAGCACATTCACAGTTTAATCTTGGGGGTACTAGTACATGCATATATTTGAGATGAATAGTTCTAATAAATAATTTTCAAAGACAAAGGATATTCCAGTAAAAGAGGGACCAGAATGTACATAATTTCCTTAATAATACATTAAATCAAAATGTATTCTTGTGAATAAGAATAGTTCAAATGTGAATTTAATAAGGAAGTAACAAAATGGTGAATTTACAACCGAATAAATTATTGAGTTTGGAACCCATGAGCTTTTTGGATGTATGACTGACGATGGACAATATTTGATCACTTGGGGAACTGATTCAAAAGAATTTCAGATCAGGAAATATAAAGAATAATGATTGATTTGGTTATTTTAAATGGAAGAGATAAAAAGTAGTTTTTTTTAATTCATATATCAAGTATCAAAGCTGTTTTTTTTCTCAAATTTTTAAATCAAACCTATTGTTAAACTATCTTTGTGATAGGAATTCAAAGTTTTGATTTCAACTATCAACAATACTATAAACTTTCAAAATATTGATAACAATCTCAATTCTTATTATGTAGTTATTTTTTATATCAAATCAGAAAGTGTATTAAAATCATCAAATAATCTAATTTTACAATCTATAATACTATTTTTTTCCCTGCTATTCTTAGAATAGTAATAAAATATCAATATTTTGATAAATTTTAAATAATCTGAAAAAAGGATATTTATTTTAATTAAAATTTCAATAAGAAAATAGATAAAAATTTCTTGATAGTTTCATTTAGAACTCCATTTTTTTTTGCCCTCAAAATAAAGGTTATAAAAAGGAAAGTTTCTTATTATCAAAAATAACTAGGCTTGAGAGCAGTTATAACATTAAATATGGCTGGAATAATCATTTAAACCTTTAGACACTTTTTCCTAACAAGCGTAGATAAATATAAAAGGAGTTTCTCAAATCTTTTAATCTGATTATTTAAGATTTAAGTAAGAATGTAATCATAACATTAATTGATTCTAATCAAATATATCAATTCTTACAAAAACAACTTAGGGGATGATTAGAAAATGGATTCCAAAATTTAGCTTTGCACTCTCTCACAAACTGAAACCTAAAAATTTAAGTAATGAAATTTTTAGGAAATAAATTCTTTAAACCAATTAATATCATATTACTGTAAAGTCACCTCCACATCTATGTATGTTAAAACTTAATATAAAATTATTTGTTAAATTTTATCAAATGGGATTGATTTTAACTTACAATAAAAAACTATTAGTTCATTAAGTATCCTATTCTCTCTGAAACATAATTGAAAAAAATTCAAGCAATTATGACTTCAAATATTTTATATAATAATTACCTTACCTCCATAAACAAAACTAAAAATTCTTTTTTTTATTTACTACAATTAACCACTATAGAGCGATGTTGATAATTATTCTCTCTTAATATATTCTAAATTTTAGTTAAAATGTTATCTGGTTGTTATTTAGGATATAAATTATAATCTAAATGCACAGTATAATATTTGAACTAGAATATATAAAAAAATACATTTTCATCTTTATATGATGTCAATATATGAAATATAGAATGCTATCGTTATGTCCAAAATATAAATCATATTGATCATGTATTAACTCTTCTTTATAGAAGTATGATTTTATAAATTTAATAGAATTATAATATCAATAAATTTATGATTAAGATGGGATAAAATTTTCAAAGCCAATAGAGTGTATTGTCATTAATTTTCTTAGGGATGGAGTTCATATTTTCTCTTAGAATAGATTCAAAATAATTAAATGAAATGATTGAGTTTTTTAATAAAATTTGGCCAGAAAGTGAAGGTTTAATATCAAAATTTTGTATGATGGTTGGAAAGAGAACTATTTTCTTAATTAATCTTGAGGATTAAAAAACAATAGTTAAAGAAAGGCTTTTCCAATAAAATGCAATACAAATGAATGAAGCTTTAAATCAAATGATTAAATATTATGAAATTAAAACAGTTTTATTAGAAGAGGAAAAGAATTGTTGGGATGATATCATCATATAATTAAAAAGAAGATAATAGAATTAACTAGAGTAATAAATTATTCATAATTAAATCAAGAATTAAATAATGTAGAAGAATGATATTAAGAAGGTAATGAATGACTAATTTAGGATTGAAATTATTTTTTTCATTAAATCAAATCAATCAGATATATTACTATTTTAATAAATTTTAGGAAGCTATTAAATTATTAAATACGGATTTATTAAATTAATCCTAATCATATCAAATCATTAAGTTCAAAAGGTATAAAAATAAATGTAGTAGCTAAATAATTAAAGTAATAATAATGATTAAAATTATAATTATTAATAGTGACAATTAATAATTTTAAAATTAGCTTTTTTAGTTCATAAATAGAAAAGATATATTTAATAATAATGAATCCTAATATTTCAATATCTCAAAAGTGTTATATATTATAATAGACTGAAAAGATATATGAATCATTAAGAAGTATGATATTATTGAAAGGATTAAGATTGGAGGAAACAATAATATCTTCCCTAATAACCTTTTTATAATCTTAATTTCTAATTAACTTAAGCTCACATCTAAGTATCTATAAATAATAACATTTATAAATCACTGACATATTGTACACAACTTTTAAACATTAAGAATTATATAATCACCTTTACTTTCAAGATGATTTTCATTATTATCTAGCCAAAAAACTGTATTCTTTTTATGAACTCATCAAAACCAGTTTAATTTATTTATTAAGAAATTATCCGAAAATTTGTATTAAATAATTTAAGGCCAATCATTTAAGTATATTGTCCTACATGTCCATAATCATAATTGAAAGTGGTAAAATACTTTGATTTTTCCTCTCTATTAATGAATTAACCCCTTTCAATATTAGATTAATTTGATAAGAAATCTATAGAACAAATAATTTATAAAAAACAAGAAATTAATGATATGTATTATTATGAATCTGTATGTTCGATTACTCAATTATTTTAATACCTTTAATAATAAAGGTTTATAATTATTTTTTTATAAATATATATATTAATTATATATTTGATTATCAATACAATATACATTTATATATATTAATCATCATAGTATATCTTGAATATATATATGTATATAAACTTATTATAGAAAGCTAATTTCTTACATTTGATTAAAATTCTTTTATTTTTTTCATATTAATTCTATTCATATTCCCATCTCCTCTAATCTAATCAATTGATTGATAATTATATATAAGTGAATTAAGAAGTATTAAAGTAAAGAGTTTTAATTTATAATATTTTTGGTAATTAAATTATTTCATTAAATTCTTATTAAGTTTCATCCATTATTCTTTTTTTGTTTTCAAACTCTTTACTTTTTTTTTTTTTCTTACTTTTTGGTAACATTATTATTGCTATTTTGATAAATTTAATTATAAAATAACTTTGTTATTACTCCAAATAACTCTTGGATTATTAGGATCATTCTAAAAATATTCATGGATAGCTTTTCTTGAATATAATAAATTACTCAAGTTTTATATCTTAGTATACATAGTATTGGATAAGTCCTTCCTTTTATTATTAGTGTTTTCTATACATATATGTCTGCTAATGTCATTTTTAATTTGTTTTATTCATCAAAATGATTAATTATTTGATTCAAATCACTTGGGTATATAATAAAAATGGGTATATAGAATAAAAATTAAATACTATTACGTAGAAATAGTAAATTAATTCAACAATGATTTGATTTGATAAAGTTATAGATCATAATGAAACTTAATTTTGAATTAAAACAATAAAATTAAAACCAAAGTGCTAAAAAGTAATCTTGAAAATGATAAATTAAAATGAAAAAGAATTAATTTATATTCACTGAAATACTATATTTGATAATTAAGTAGAGATGATATATATAGGTATTATGTTCTTTTGATTGTTTAATTGAAGCTGATATATGAGTATTATGTATAATAATATTCTATTATTATCATTTTTATTTCTCTATTTTACTTTGAAAGGATTAAATTATTGTTTATTTAATAAGATGCTCCCCATAGGTAATTGCGCTAATAACTTCAATATCAAAGGATAACCAGTATAATATTATTTTATTTGTAAAAAATCAAATTATATTCTATTTAAGAAACAAAACAATTATTTAAATCTGATTTAAATTATATGGGATTTGTCAAATCATTTTATTTTCATATTGATCCTAGTGCATTTAGTCCTTATTAAAAGAAAAGATGTATGATTTAAATTTTATATTTCTTGATGAAATAGAAGAAAGTGAAGAATATTGAATTTCATTATATTGATTTATATCATGAAGTAACATTATAATATTTAGCTAATTGTTTTTAATTGATTAAAGTAGAATCAATCAATCTTTTATATTTTAATGATAATAACTTAGCATAAATAAATCGTATTTTTCAGGGTATAAACAATTTGAAAATTGAAAAATAAACTTCCTCAAATCTTAATACTAAATGGGAAGCTGACAAAATTGATCCGAATGCATCAGATGAGAAAATAAATGAGATCTAATTTATTGAAAATCCTAAAATAAATACTGGATGGTAAGCAGTACAAAAGAATTAATTTATTAAAGACGATTACATTTAACTTTCTGCAGAGTATTAAGCACTGATTCCAAACGATCTAAGAAGATCATTAAACCTCAATAGAGGAATTAGTGGTCTGATTGTTAATTAATTATCAAGAATTGAGGATAATTAACAAAATTTATTAGTATAAATAGAAACAAATGAATAAATAATTATTGATGCAAAAAATTAAATTGACAGTATAACGAAAAGAGATCTATACGCATAATCAGTTGGAAATATTTAATTTTTGTTAAAATTGTACGATTATTATGAAGTTTGGAGCAAATTGAATTAATATTAAGCAACTATTCAAACTTTTTGGTCGGTGCTGAATGGGTCCTTATAAATTGTTTCTTTAATTTATTTGAATAATGAACCTAATATGTTTATATCTGCATTAATAGCCTTAACCGCAATCAATCCAATATTATAGATGTTATCATTTGCAGTATTTTAATAGCGTGTTTTTAAAAATTTTTCACCTTTAAGATAACTGTCTTATATTCTTTTATTTGCAATATTTAACTTTTTAAAGATTTGGGATATCGTTATGATTTGTTTATTTTTAGCAGTAAGGCAATTCGCTGAAGATGTAAAGAGAGAGTTTAGTGGTTAAGGATATTTAAAGTTCAAGAGTTATGCCTCAAAATTTTCAGGTAGTATAGCTACTTCAGTATTTTAGAATGAAAGAGTTTAAGCTGATCCTAATGATATTAAATAAATATAAAATTAGCCATTTTATGAGGCTGTAATGTGGAGAACAAATGTTGAAGAAGCTTTGAATAAAATTCCTTAGTTCTTTGTATATATTTTATCTTTAGCATCTACTCAATTAGATGGTATTTGGGTATTTTCTTTTGGTCAACAAATAAAAGAAGGTATATTTGCAGTAAAAGATTTATTAGAAGTTGTTATTAAAGACTATTTTATTCCAGCTTTAATTTTAAGTACAGTTTCAGTGGATTAATTTTTTTAATCTATGTTGTATTTGAGCTCAATATCAAATTAAATATTATTGGAATATCCTAAATCTTTTTAAATTGTGTCAAAAGTAAAATAACAATACTTAAAAGAAAAATTTACTTTTAAAATTAATGTGAAAACTTTAAATTTTACTAATTATGGAGATTTAAAAAAATAGAAGTTATTAGCATAATTTAGGTATGTTCTAGCTTCAATAAATACTATTTTAGAAATTGATTAAGCATAAAGATTGTTTTGTATGGGAGCTGAACTAAATGATTTAATAAGATGTTTAAAAGTGAGTCCATTGTATTAAATAAAGTTGAATTATTATTTGGATGAAGTAAAACCTGAACATATTCCTCACATTAATGNTAATCATATTAAATCTCATCAAAATTAGTTATTCTAATGATTCATTTTTTAAGGAATATAACAATATTTTATTAATTTTTCTTAAATTAAATAACCCTCATATCTTTCTCCTAAGCATCTACTCTAACTTAAACCATTATTTTCTTATAAATAATGTTGCTTTGATTTTATATTAGATCTTCTAATCATTTAAGTAGTGATAAAATACAATTATTTGTAATTTTTAAATTTATTATGCTTGAAAAATTAATTTTTGATAAATGATATTTTGACTTGAAAAGCAGATATCTAAAGGAAAAAAATTAAATAAATAATTTATATATATTTGGTAAACTCAAAAAAATTGTAATGATAGGACATTGAATAATAAATTTAGCTTTGATCCACAATCAAAACTGGAAATATGATGGTTCATTTTATGAGAACTACCAATAACATAAACCAAATAGAAATATTGAAATATATAAAATCAAAAGAATATATTATAAATACATAAAATTTTTTTTATCATTATGGCGATTTTTTCTATATTCTTAATGAATAAAGCTGCAAATAAACTAATTTGATTTCCCACTTTCTTATTTTAAGCCAATCACACAAATTCCGGTCCTCATCTTTAAGACACTTTTTTGATTTGTAGTATAAAAATTAAAGGAAAGTAATAGAAAATCATTAATTAAAAAAAAAAGTAAATGAATTGCACTCGCCATATTCAATTTCCAATAACTTCCATATGTATTGCCCCTCACTAATGTTAATGCTAAAGGAAACTTTGCATTGATTGCCAATATGAACACGGAGTTGATATTAAATATACGATTCCGACTCATAAATTTCAAGATATGGTAATAAAGTAATTAAAAGAATCGAAGATTGATCAAACTTCTGAATTCACCTAATAAAGAAAGAATTTTTTAATGATTCTCTTTCAAACTGAAAGCATGCTGAAGAATACTTGGCAACAGTTATAGGAATCAATCCAAAAAATATATGATACAATTGAGATTCAGAATAAATCATATTTGGAAATCATGAACAACAATTTCAATCCTGCAGATTTTTCAGATACTGACTTAGAGAAATTAGTATAAATTGTATAAGGAAAAAATTTAAATGAATGGAAAGCTTAGAAGGATTCTTATTTGTAGAAATTATCAAAGGTAATGGATTGGTGGGAGAAAGAAATTAAGGCTTTTAATGAAAAGTTGAAAAATGAAATTAAAGAATAATTGCCATCAGATATTAAAGGAAAATAATAACAAAATGAAATGAAATGTCTATCATAAGTGAATGTTAAAGCATTTTCTTATTAAATAATTGAAGCTAATTCTATTAAATAATAAGAATATTGTTGGGCAGTTGCTATTAATAAAGATTGTTCAATTGTAGCGGCTGGTTGTAATAAACTAATTAAAATTTATGAATTCCAATAAGGAATGTTGAAATTAAATCAAGTTTTAAATTAACATAAAAATAATGTGTTCACTTTAATTTTTATGAAATAATAAAATTAATTGATTTCTGGAGATTAAAGACTTATTTTGATTTGGTAATATATTATTGATCCATGGAAAAAAATTATTTTATCATATTAAAATAATTGATGGATTTGTACATAAACTATCAATGGTCATAGTAATTGGATTAGATGCATCATTTTAAATAATAATGAAGATCTATTTATATCCAGTAGTGATGATAAGACTATTAAGTTTTGGGTTAAAAAGAATCAATGGATTTTTTAATAATCTATTACAGATCATAGTAGTTATGTCAATCAATTAAGTTTAAATGAATAATAAAATCAAGTTATATCTTGTGGATATGATGGATTGATATTAGTAATAGAGTAATCAGAAACTAATAAAAAATGGATTGTAAAACAAAAAATACAAGTTGATTCTATAGGATATCGATTATGCTTTATCAACAATAATCTATTTACATTTTAACCTATAAATGGGAATTTGATGTATCTTTATCAAATTAATAGTGTAAGTAAATAGTTCACTAAATCAAAAGATATTACTATAAATCAAGGAAATGAAGGTTCTGAATTATTTCCAAAATAATTTATTAAATAAAAATAATTAGTTGTTAATAAGCATTGTGAATATGTACATTTAATAAGATTTACAGAAAATGCTGAATTTAAAGTTGAGTAATCTATTTAATTTGGAACAAATTCTATATTTGGATCATTAAGTGATGATGGACAATATTTGATTACTTGGGATTAGACATCATATCAAATATAAATAAGGGAATTCAAAGAACAATGAGATAATTATTATATTAAATATAAAAGTCAAAGTTAATTATTTTTATTTAGATTAAAAAAATCAAAAAATCAATATTTACTTAGATCTCAATTAAATACAAAATTCCAAATATACAAAATAAGAATAATAATTTTTCATCTTATTTTGATTGATATGGAATCAAAGAAAAATGTTGTAGCAATCAAAATAATAATATAGATAACTTAATAATGTTTATATGAAGGAGTCTCTAATTAGTTGGTAAATATTATATGGAGAAAGTTAAAACACTATTTTATGAAATGTCTTATTAAAGTATAATCTTAATTGTTTAGATTTCCAATTTGATCCATTACCTTAGAATATATATTTATTATTATATCAACTATATTCTTGGTGGAAAGATGAAAATAAAATTATAATTAGGATTGAATAGTTTTTTGTTGAAACTCTATCAGGTTTAAATTTTCAGGTATAAAATGAGAGGGTGAAACTCAATCTAGTAATATGAAAAGTTTAAGTTACATTCTTTTTGATGAAGATTGAGTTAAAAGAGATCAAAATCATCGAATAACAAATAAAGAAAGACTCGGAGGCTAGAATAGGAACTATAGTTTAAGTAATCATGCAACAGTACTCTTTATTATATATAGATAGTAGTAAAATAGACAATTAAATGTTTAATAGAGAATAAAGGACTGGCTCAGAGTGCGAATCAAGTTATGACAAGAAATGATTTAATAAATTGTTCAAAATAGTGTTAAAAAAGTATAAACTCGATGGTTGGAGAAAGAAAAAGTTTATACTGATAATAAACAAAGAGCAGTAGATATATATATTGATTCTAATCAAATCTGTTCAGCATATTTATAAAGAATAATTTAACAAATAAATAATAAAATTAGTGATCAATAAAAAAAGCCTAATTAATCTTTTATGGTAATTTATAACAACTTATTATTTTTAGCAAAAATAGGAATTAAGAACTTCTTCTATTTAGAAATATTTAATTGCCTGGAGAATCAATTATTAAAAGGCTGAATGATTAAAATTATTCAAAGATAGATTAATTTACCTTTTATCATATTTCAATTCGGTTTTTAAATATTTTTTATCCTTTAAAACAATTCTATAATTTGCTAAATTTCTTTTAATATTTGTCATGAATCACTTTTAGTTCATATGTATTTTGAGGATCTAAATAAATAGTTTATAAGGAGATTAGGAAAATACAGGAAAGTATTGCAAAAAGAACAAGATAATCAAGAGGATAATCCTAAGAATGGATATACTGATAATGTGCATGTTGCTAAGAACTATTAGGTTTCAAGAGAAGTAGAAGTTAATCTGTTGGTTTGCAAGAAGAAAAAACTATTTCCCCAGCTACAAAATGAAGATCTTAATATTAAGAGCAAATAAAGCAGAATATTTTAAGTATTTGAGAATATTATAAAAATTTTGAAGAATTTTGGAAGGCAATTAGATGAAAATTTTCCTAATAATCGGTATGAAGATGAATGTAATATTACGGGTGATCTCCTCGAAATTTATGTAGAAAAATTTAATTGAAATCTATCAGAAATCAAGAATAAAATATATTATATATATGAAGAATGTGTGTAATATGGAAAATTTTTAGAGACAACTCCTTTTGAAAGAAAGCAAAGAGGGAAATTCCAAAATAAAATTAATATTATTAGGATTAGGGGAATAAATGATTATGGATATTACAAGATTTATGGAAATGTATGGAAAATTATAGGGAGCATAATAATAGAATGAATAAAGAGCTTATATAGATCATATAGTAATTGTGAGGATAAAATTAAGAGAATCTAAAATATATAGAAATTAATCTATTTATTACCATTAGCAAGAAATAAAATAGAATGGTAAAATTGCAAACAATTTTAATTTCTATTTTATGTATACTGCCAGAGAGATATTTATTAAAAGCAAAATTTGCTAAGCTACCATAAACATAAAAACGAGATGGAGATAGATAAATTAATTTCAAATCTTAAAGAATTCAAAATTATAATATATATAGAAGATTGATGTAACATGAAATTGAAATCATAGTCATTCAATTACAATAGATTTAAATATGTTGAAAAATGCATATCAAGTATAATATAAATTTTGGATGTAATAAAAATTATAGGAAAATTAATTGTTGGCAAATTTATAGAAAAACTGGCTAAAAATTATTAATATTATTTTATATATTGAAATTAAATTATGACATTTTTTTAAGCTTTGCTTTGGACTTACAATCTAATTAAATTGTATTTATATCATTTGATTCTCCAAAAGCTAGCTTATTTTTAAAGAAGTAAATTAAATTAATTTTCCTAATAATATATCAAATTCACTCTTCTCATTTTATATCCTATCTAAAAATCTCATGATTCCTGTTCATCAAGATATGATAAAAAATCATCATCAAGCATCACCAAAGGTTCACTTTAGAAATAATAACAATATTGCCAACACCACCTAAGTAATTAGAAGCCATCATAAAAAAATCCATTTTCTTGAAATAATCCCTACCAAAACTATCTACTTCCTTTTCTTTGTAGATATATTTATCCCCTTCTTATATCCTTTCAAATATAAACCAAGAGGAAGGGTTCACTATTGAGTAAATATCCCGATCTTTCCTAATACAAAACTCTATATAAATAGCAGACACTTAGTATCGCCCCATATATCAGCTACTGAAGGAGAACCTCCTCCAATATAAGATTCAGAAAATAAGAATCTAATTCTAAAGATTTCCATCACAGAGACTTTTCTTACTATCTAATCTTAACTTTTGCTGATTTTAGTCCTCTAAGGTTTCACACTATAAATTCTTAATCACTATCAAAAAGAACAGTATGAAAAAAAGATTATAGGATTTTAACAACCCTGATCCTTCCTACCTCTCTTTATATCAAGAGGGATTCCACAGTTTCTTCCTAGAGGTTCTTTTCTATAGTGATTTTCTTAAAGGCTTCTATAAATTTTGAAAACATCTATCATTAGCCTCTGTATAAGATATTTTTTTGTCACTAAAATATCAGTTTCATTTTATTGTGATGTTGATATTCTCTCAAAAGCTTAATTGATATAGTATTATTAACCAAAAATCCTTTTACAATCAAACGTTCTTAGCATCCTAATATTAGAAAGCTAAAGTTCTTGCTCGACGTGTTGGAGTATATTACACTCCAACTTCAAATTTAAGCTAGTGTCTTTATAGTCTAGGTGATATAAAAATAGAGTCATCGTTCTCTCTTGCTAAGCTCGTCTCCTTTTAGAGTTACCTACTATCATCCTCATACTCAATTTAAGTTTATCTAGAATTTAAAATTANATTGTTGGCAAATTTATAGAAAAACTGGCTAAAAATTATTAATATTATTTTATATATTGAAATTGAATTATGAAATTTTTTAAGCTTTGCATTGGACTTACAATCTAATTAAATTGTACTTATATCATTTGATTCTCCAAAAGCTAGCTTATTTTTAAAGAAGTAAATTAAATTAATTTTCTTAATAATATATCAAATTCAGTCTTCTCATTTTATATCCTATCTAAAATCTCATGATTCCTGTTCATCAAGATATGATATAAAATCATCATCAAGCATAACTGATGGTTCCCTTTAGAAATAATAACAATATCGCCAACACCACCTAAGTAATTAGAAGCCATCATAAAAAAAATCCATTTTCTTGAAATAATTCCTACCAAAACTATCTACTTCCTTTTCTTTGTAGATATATTTATCCCCTTCTTATATCATTTCAAATATAAACCAAGAGGAAGGGTTCACTATTGAGTAAAATACCCCGATCTTTCTTAATACAAAACTCTATATAAATAGCTGATATTTAGTATCGCCCCATTTCTTTAGGGAAGTTATCAGCTACTGAAGGAGAACCTCTTCCATTATAAGATTCATGCAATAAGAATCTAACTCTAAAGATCTTCATTACAGAGACTTTTCTTACTATCTAATCTTAACTTTTGCTAATTTTAGCCCTTTAAGGTTTCACTCTATAAATTCTTAATCACTATCAAAAAGAACAGTATGAAAAAAAGATTATAGGATTTTAACAACCCTGATCCTTCCTACCTCTCTTTATATCAAGAGGGATTCCACAGTTTCTTCCTAGAGGTTCTTTTCTATAGTGATTTTCTTAAAGGCTTCTATAAATTTTGAAAACATCTATCATTAGCCTCTGTATAAGATATTTTTTTGTCACTAAAATATCAGTTTCATTTTATTGTGATGTTGATATTCTCTCAAAAGCTTAATTGATATAGTTAAAATCCTTTTACTATGAAACGTCCTTAGAATCCTAATATTAAAAAGCTAAAGTTCTTGCTGGACATGTTGGAGTGTACTACACTCCAACCTCAAATTTAAGCTAGTGTCTTTATAGTCTAGGTGATATAAAAATAGAGTCATCGTTCTCTCTTGCTAAGCTCATCTCCTTTTGAGTTACCTACTATCATCCTCATACTCAATTAAAGTTTATCTAGAATTTAAAATTATAAGCAGTACTTACAAAAGTGAAACTATCATATTTATATTCCAAAAGTATGAAATTTGTTCCTTAAGTAATCTGAATTTCATTAAAGAGACAATTTTAAAGTAATGATTTAAAAAATTTCTAAAAATGAAAAAAAAACAGATGATTTTCACTTAGAAATTAAAAAAATTCACCAAAATTATTAGATTGATACATGAATGCAAAACTTTGAAAGTCCTAACCTTTAGAAACCTTAATAACGATTAATCCTGGTAATTATTACCTAGATGAAATTAATCACTTGTTGTACTTTAGAATACCCTATCATTTACTACTTTTTTTAAATTAGATTAGACTATTTTCTAATTAAGGAATTGCCAAATTAAATTAAAACTAATATATGGAACTTTAGATTTAGAATATAAAAGGGAAGACACATCTTATATTATCAAAATAAAAAGAAATAAGTTAAATAATAATTGAATAGATGTCTTCTGCTAAACTGAAGAATGTAACTAAAGAGAAATGAGAATATATTAATATTTAAAAACGTAGCTCAATTTACAAATAGATCATATTGATTAATAAATTCAATAGGAGACTACCACTAAATTTACAATTCTGTTTATTGGGCCAACCATGCATACTGAAAAAAGATGAATAATGAAATTAGAACTTGTCAATAGCAGCAAAATATTTTATTGCTATTGGTGAGTTTGTAAGAATTAATACTGAATTTATAAAGGTGAATTAAAGAATAGGAGATAGATAAATAGGCAAATTATTCAATGCATGACAAAGAAATTCTCATCCCTTATCAGATATCGGGTAGACGTAGTTAAGAATTATTAGTAAGTTACATCAGGAGATTAGAATTTACTTCTATGAAAATGTTGAGCTTCCTTTAGAGTTTTAATAAAATTAAATGAATTTAAGAATTCTATTAGATACTCAAAAAAGGAATACTTCAGAACAAAGTGCATTCTAATATATATAATAGAGTTAATATTAATTACTATGTCATTATTTTGATATAAAAATATTCTTGCAAAGAAAATCTTGACCTTAGATCCCAAATACCATACTGATCAACAAAAATTAGGCATATAAATAAATTATAGAAGTGTAGTTAAACGAGGATAACTTTTAACAGGAAGCTTAAAGAGAATTATGACCTCCATTTTTATATTCATTATCTATGGGGCTAATATTGTGTAAGTAAACATATATCATACTAGAGCTGATTTTTTATTTCAGCATGAGAAAATGAATAAATACTTTCTCCTATACTTTGTCCTCTTCTATTTGTCCAGCATTCAATATTCTTAATCTCCTTTAAATTAAGTCATCTTTGTCTATTATTATATTTCAATTAAAATAAGAATGAAAAGTTAAAAGTTATACTCTGGAACTTAAATATTTGAATATCATTAACTAGAACATATAATGGTACTTTATAACAAAATATCAGGCTCCCTAGTGGATTGCACATAAAGAGTGAGATATTTTGGATAATTCAGAAAGTATTATAATCATACAATAGAAAACTTCCAGAAATTTTGCTAGTACTGACAGATTTGAACCAAACTGAAGTCAAATTCTGGAATAAATAGGAAATTGATCTTGTACACCTTCCTGCATGTTTGAAGGATAGATTTTCCCTCTAGATCAGCCAGTCCATCTTTTTTATCAAAAATATCCCATAATCAATCCAAATTAGGATTATTTGTATGTTATAAAAAACTATTATCTAATTTAAATCTTTATAGATAACTGTAGAGTTTTGTGTTAGTTTAATTTTTACCCAAGCAAAATTTCATGTTGAATTAGGATAATTCAAATTCATGCTTCATAAAATAAATTGAATAAATGTATAGGTACTCTTAAGATGGTCAGAATTAGGATGTTATTTTCATCTAAATAGATGAATGTTTCTTGAAGCTCTAATTCCTTTTTGGTCATACAACTTCCATGACTTAGGCTGGAAAATATTCATTAGGATGATAATACATTACCTTTCCAATTTCTGTGATCTCTTAAATTATTTTCTCAATAGCAATATAAGAAAATTATATTTTGACCATATTTTTTTTATTATTTAATCAGAGGGAATATTTTTTTAATATTAAAATTTAAAATTTGCTCAAAAAGTCTTTTAAATCATAGATAATATATTAAAATACATTCTAAAATTGTTTAAATTTAACTAGTAATTAATCAAGTTGAAATATATATAATATATAAAAAGAAGAATGATAAATCACAGGAGTTTAATTTTATAAAGAAGCCAATTAGACTTTGTCTATTATTAATTTATGCAAAAGTTTAATACATGTTACTTACTGTTATTATAATCTTTTTTAAATACATTTCCCATTTTTGTTTCCATCAAGTAAAGTAAAGTAGTCATTCTCAATTATTTCTCTTTGATATAATTTTCATCAGATTTTCTAGACCATTATTCAGTCTTTAAGATCAATTAGTCTTATTAATAAATTAATCAAATATATTTCATATAAATGAATAGATTGTAGTAGCATATGATAATTGAAAAGTATTTTAAACTTTGTAATGATTTATAAAATCAAATAAATATTTTGTTATTTTCAACAAAAGACTATAGATAAATGTAAATTAACTCTAAAATTAAACTTACAAATAAGAAATAATTTTTAATTACAAAAATAATTATTGTTTAAAGAAACATTTTGTTAATTATCTGAAGATAGTATATCATGCATCTTTTTTTAATAATTTTAACTAATAGAAAATATTATGGCATGAATTAACTTTCTGATAAATTTGAGGAGCATCTAGATGTAATTATGATGATATTGAAGAATTTCAATCATTAAATTTGTGCCTCTTCGATCTTCAATATAACTATTATGATGGCTTTTTACACTAATATGAATATGCCTATACAACAATATCTTGTTCTAAGTGTTTATCACAGGAAAGTTCATCCACCTTTCTTTTAATGTACAGTTAGAAAAAAGCTCTTTAAAAATTTAATCCATTTCGTATCAGCAGGCCTCATCTTATTCTCTACTAAGTTCAAAAATCTTAATACAATTAACCAAGACTCCTAAAATCTAAACTCATATTTCTTCATGTTTCTACAATCATTACAAAATGTGCATTTTTTCACCAAATATAATATATATTTGATTCCATTAAAATTACTTCATAAGGTAAGACTACCTTTATATTTTGGGCAATCCTCCCTTGAAATTATATTCAGTTTATTGGTTATGTATGGCAATCTCTTATAAACCATTTAATATCAAATAATTATCCACTTAGTAAAAGCATCAAGTAGAAAATGCAAAATCTCAAGTTTAAGAATTAAAATTTTTATTGTAGACCTTTTTCAGTTCTGACAAGATCAGGGTTTAATTTAATGGTTTAATCATTTCTAAGCAGTGGTTTGTTAGCATGTGTTTAAATAAACGTGTCAAAGTAGAGAAAAAGAATATGACTTGAACTGAAAATGACATTATATTCAAGATAAACAAGGAAAATATATCTTATACTTTCCAGCCATGTTTGAAGGCTTTTAGATCTTGCATCCTGGTAAATTGCTAAGCTTCCCTCTGGACAAACCCGTTCATCCACTCTCATTAAGTCTAAGAAAAAGTACAACAATCAAGACTATTGTTTTTCTTTAAAAAATTAAGATAATAACAAAGTTATAAAATCAAAAAAGCTGTTTTAAAATATCCTTTTAAATAAAAAAGTTGCTTTTTAAATCATAATGTATATTTCTACTTATAAATCTAAAATTATACTATTACTTAATCAAACTCTCAAATCATTTTGAATGTAGTAGGCTTACAAAAAGATAAAAATTGGTTATTTATATTTTACTAATTGATGAATATTTAATAATAGAAAACTTTAAAGTTTATATTTTATAAAAAACTGGAAAAAATACTTAATTTTAATGATAATGCAAAAATTGCACTTTCCAATTCCTAGGATTATTTATAGAGGAGCTGAACTAATTAATTTTCAAGCATTAATTAAATTCAAACTAAATTCTAAAAACTAACAAATTAGATAGGAATAAAATATAATTTAACACTTTATATATTAATCTCAGATATATCTAAACAATAATTAACAAGATTCTAGATATTTAATGACAACATAAACACTACTTTAGATATAATTCTTTCAAAATAATTATTTTTGCTTTAGACAATATCTTTTTTTGTGATTTAAGTTATCTCTAAACTTGTTTCAAGACTTATAATTATAATATTAGCGAAAGAGAAAAATTCAGAACCTTCATTTCCTTGATTTATAGTAATATCTTTTGATTTAGTGAACTATTTACTTACACTATTAATTTGATAAAGATACATCAAATTCCCATTTATAGGTTAAAATGTAAATAGATTATTGTTGATAAAGCATAATCGATATCCTATAGAATCAACTTGTATTTTTTGTTTTACAATCCATTTTTTATTAGTTTCTGATTACTCTATTACTAATATCAATCCATCATATCCACAAGATATAACTTGATTTTATTATTCATTTAAACTTAATTGATTGACATAACTACTATGATCTGTAATAGATTATTAAAAAATCCATTGATTCTTTTTAACCCAAAACTTAATAGTCTTATCATCACTACTGGATATAAATAGATCTTCATTATTATTTAAAATGATGCATCTAATCCAATTACTATGACCATTGATAGTTTATGTACAAATCCATCAATTATTTTAATATGATAAAATAATTTTTTTCCATGGATCAATAATATATTACCAAATCAAAATAAGTCTTTAATCTCCAGAAATCAATTAATTTTATTATTTCATAAAAATTAAAGTGAACACATTATTTTTATGTTAATTTAAAACTTGATTTAATTTCAACATTCCTTATTGGAATTCATAAATTTTAATTAGTTTATTACAACCAGCCGCTACAATTGAACAATCTTTATTAATAGCAACTGCCCAACAATATTCTTATTATTTAATAGAATTAGCTTCAATTATTTAATAAGAAAATGCTTTAACATTCACTTATGATAGACATTTCATTTCATTTTGTTATTA